CCAGCAAGCAGGTCAAGGCACCACCTCTGAGACAAAGCCTTTTGGCGTTGTGAACTTGAAGCAAGAAGAAAGAAAACCACAGTGACCAGCAAAGGCCGCACCATCTATCCGCATCCCAGGAGCACAGCACAGGATCGGGGCCACTCCGATGGAACAACGAAAACTATTAGAATCAGAAGTTGAGTCTTGGCCTGAGGGTCCAGGAGACATCGGAGGGCAACGGCCAGCGTTTCCTCTGTGACTGGAACGGCTGACATCTGACCATCGGCTAAACCCTACTTGCTCTCACTTGGCCATCTTCGGCCGGCCTCACGGCCGAACCTCCGTCCAAAGGCAGAACGAGCATTATGACACCGGACACATCCGGCGGAGCATCACACACCATTCAAGCATGTTCAAGCCACCTCTGCAAGGTGCTGCAAGGCTTTCGTGATCTGTTCCAAATCCTCCAGTTTACCATCATTGCATGAGGCAAGGAAGGGCATCTGCCGCTTGAGGAGCTTGTCTCTCACCATTCAGCGGAAAAAACAAGGAAGTTAAGCATAAAAAACACATTATATATTACATAAATAAGTTTAAAAAGTGTCGTTTCATCCGAACACCCTGTGTTTCTATTGAAACTGCATTAGTTTGACAGTTTTTGTCTGCTGCAGGATGATACAGTCTAGAAGTTCATGAGCTCTAAAATTTGTACGACATCCAATGTGTGTGTGTGTGGCACAGATTCTAACATTCTTTCGTCCGCTGCAACTGTAGGTGCTACAGCGTACGTGCATGATGCTTGTTATGTAGATTGCAGACTGCATGCATGTATGAAAGCCAGCACTGAGATGGCCGCACTTGTTTGTGGACGATTTTTATGCTTGTCTTGTAGTGTTCACATCGCACTCAGAAACCAATCCCCCTGCGAAATCCACCAATGCCCGCGAAACACAAACTCACAAAAAGTAGACCTAAGGCTTCTCAGAACGATCCACATTACTCACGTATTTTGAGCCAGTACTCTCACAGTTTGATCCCCAAGAAACACAATGTTAAACCTCTGTTTGGTTTGTCCGAAAACGAAATCCGGAATACTCCCGTATTTTGATATCAAAAACCAAGTACTTGCCTTGTTTGATTCGGCAAGCATGACCAGTAAAAACTACACATCCCACAGTATAATAATAAGGCGTAATGTCCATTGGGCCCAACTTCAACAAATGGTGATGTCTGTTCCTGGGCCGGGCCGGTGGCCGGGCCGGTGCCGGGCCAGTGGCCGGAACACAAACATTGTATATATTATGTATAGATGTGGACTGAGGAGGGTATTTGCTATTCCTGTATTTGTCCTTATTGTTTTTGCCTTTGTTTTTCTTTGCCTTTGCATCCCTTTGCTAGCCCCACCAAGGGGACGGGACTTTGTTCTGTGCCACTTGTACGCATATGTTTTGCAGCACGTTCGAGGAGGCACCTTGGGTCTTGCTTTCCTCGCTGCTGCTTCATTGACAGTCCTGAGACGCCCTTCTGGAAAGCAGCCTTTGAGATGGGGGGTCATTTTGCCCTGCAATGAGCGAAACTTCCAACCTCAGTTCCAACTTCTCATGTCCACAATTGTCTCAACGGTAGACTTCTTCACTGAAAGACGCTTATGGAAGTGCAAAGCCCTGTTCGGTTCATCAGAGAAAACTCCAATCGAGTGAGACGCAACAGTTCTCAATTCCAGCCCGAAAAACCCTGTTGAACCAAATGAAAAGAAAGGCGACGACTTCTCAACTGCTGGTCCGGGTTGTTGGTCACAACTTCACGATCCATTTGCAGTGGTTCTCTGAGCTCTACCAAGCATGTCATGTACCAAACACAGCCACGAGGCAAATCGCTCCATCCAGTCACGAAAACCTGACACCTCTTTGGCTCTTGAAGTCCAACCTTGAAATTTGCTGCTCTTCTAGTTTATTGCCCGTCGTGCTCATAGAAGTCCTCCTGCTCATGGCAATTCTGAATTCTCAGTCAAGCATTCACCACATCCGCTTTGCTGAAGGGTCGGAGGTAGGGGTACGCGCCGTACGGGTGATGGTGGCTGGTTCATAGTAGGCATTGGCGTCCTCAGCCTCTACCCAACCTGAAGGGCCAGGCTTTCGCGAACCGTGAGACCACCTTGAGCCTGGAGTTTGATGTCTTCAATTTTGCTAATTATTTTGGGGGAGGCCTCGCAATTGTTAAGCACAAGTAGACGCAGACGACTTTTTTTGTGACTGCCTTGTCATACCAAGGGTCCCAAGGCTGCGACGAAACTTGAAGGCTACTGAGACCATGTCCTGGCCCTCGACGCCAAATGCTTCGAACGATACGCAGCGCTTGCACTCCTCTCGGCATGTAGCGCCCGATGACTGCTACAGTACCTTCTGAGCCTCCTGCACAGTGGCCAATGAGGGTCTGACTTTGCCGTCCAGCTCCGGCAGACATAGTGCTACTGCTGGAGCCTATGGAAGAGCTGCTCAAGAGATTGGGCCATTGCGTCATGGTGGATGCTGAAGGGTTTGACGAGGATGGCCGGATGAAGTCCCGACAAGGCCACCAGGACGATCACTTGTTCCAGGCATATGCTGCATTGGGCTGAGAGGCTTACAAAGGTCTTGTTTTCTTTCTCGCTTTGGAGCGCGGCCTTCGCAGGCTCCTGATTGGAAGATACTGTTGGAAGGTCAAGCCTGGATGCCATAGCCAGTGTGGTCTTGAAAGGAGCAGCGGTGTGCCCTGTTCTTGTGCGATAGGGTATGCCCCACCGGTGCTTTCTTCCTGCCTTTTTTTTTTTGCGTAGGCTTGAGTATCAGAGCTGTTCAAGAACAAGGGGAGAGCACACTATATGCGTGCCGCATGCGTGTGTGTATACATACATATAATATATATATATATATAGATGTTTTCCCGTTATGTACCAATTTGGTTGTGCGGGTGTTTGTTCTTTTGTTTGCAGCACAGTTTATGTTGGCTCAACGTCAGTGTGAACGTGCAAAATTAGGTGTGAGTGTGAGGGTACTGTACTGATACCATGTGTAAGTGCACTGCTTGATGCAGCTATGAGGTATAGTATGACACATGCGACATGTTTTCACAATTTCCTTGCTTCACAACAACGCTCGTGCCAGGTCTACAGGTGCGGCTGCGATTTCTATGTCCGTAAATATCCGTAAATAGTTATAGAACATTTGCACATATATATATATATGTATGATGTTCCGACTGTCCACCTAAAACTCCGGAAGACCGAACGTCTAGTCTAGTGCTGATGGCCTGTAGAATCCAGATTGGGAATAGACATAGCATACATAGCTTTGCATACTACGCATTCATCTTCCTATACAACATACACTGCAACAGCCATGCAGCTCAGAAACCTAGGTGGTGCGCTTCAGCCAGCCGGGGGACCTGGTGGAATCAGACGAGAACCTTTTGACAATTTTTTGACCTGGGCAGCGCCTTGCAAAGCCATTTTCGATGGGTGTGTATACTGCATGATTCATGCTGTTTGACCAGTTGTTGGGATTCATGGCACAGATTCATAGATCAGAACAGCTTGTGTCCCTCCGTTTGCAGGGCCTCTTAGTCTCTCACATTTGCAGGGCCGATCCCTGTGTCAACCCAGACCAAAAATGCGCTATGACGTGGGTTGAAAGGGTTCGCTATGACGTGTGGATGAAATGGCATGATTCCCGCTTGCACATGTCAATGACACCCGTCGTCACTCCATTTGACCAGTGAGAAGCATTTCATGCATCATGCAGCTCATGGCACTGTGCCGCAGACATGCATCTATAAGATTCTACATGTTGTTTCTAATTTCAGAATCCGGGTGCACAAATACTGTAGAGACCTTCTAACTTACAGATCCTTTACAAAGACCACTTAAGGAGTTGCAGCTACGCCCTCACGTGCAGGTGGGCATGGTGCTTGGTGCTGGGAACCGAGCGAGTTGAAGATTTGGTTGAACCTTGTGTCACTTCACGGCGGGGCCTTTGCGAGCATGCAATTTGGAGACGTTGGTGTAGCACACGCTGGACATGAATACATACATCCCTTAGGCAGCTACAACGACACCCTGTCCGATTTGCTGGAAAAGGTGCCTTTGCTGTTCCTTTCTGGATTAGAGATGGTTGGAGCATGTAAGAATATGTAAGAGCATTCACTTCGTGGTGGCTGACGTGGACAGTCTTCTCACGAATCCATACGAATCCGACTTGGACAGGGTCTGTGCACCAAGGACTGGAAGATGATGAAAAACAAAGCGTTGTTGAAAATTGCTGGAGTCGCCTACCAAGTGGACTTTGAGCGGATGGTCCAGGCACTTAAAGTCTCGCAAGGCATGCAAAACCTTTGCAAAAACAAGCCTCATTTGCTTCCGTGCTTTTCCCATTGAGTTAACTATGTCAATCAATGTCTTCATTGACTTATTTTTGGCCATTGCTTCAGATCCTTGTCCTGGATGGTATGGGTACATGAAACTGATGCTACATGAAACTGATGCTTCAGGTGAATTGCGACACCAAATACCGCAGACTAGTTCGAAGGCGACCTTCATCAAGCTGAGTGCTCGATGAATCACATCGCCAAAGTCGCATGCGGCCAAAACGGTGGTTAGATTGTGTTTGAGTGCATGTTTTTTCGAGTTCCCTGGCCTCGTTTTCGCCTGAATTCCAGCTTCTCAAAGTTCGTGAACGATTGATCTTCGTTTCTTTCCAGCTACTTTGCCCGCGGGGGGGGGGGGGGGGGGCGTCCAATAAATTTGCATAGTTTGTTGTGTGGTTGGTTCAAACAAGTGCCCTCGACACATATAAATAAAGAACAATCCAAATGACGGCCTCACGTGGATCAATCAATTGCAATATTTAGTTGGTATTGCACAACATACATATTATATACGCGTCTTGAATTGTATACATCACAAAGGGCACAATTCATAAGACAATTTGTTCGTGTTGGTTGTTGATACTGATTCGCAATGTAGTTGCTGGAATTGCCATGTCATGCCCACAGTGCCATTTGGGGGCACTTCGTCCAAGCCGGCATCAAGTGACGAGAAAATTGCTGCCCGTGCATTTTGCCCGGGGCTTGGTTTTGACCTCTTCTTTTATTTATATAATGTGTTGTCAACATCTGAATGTGTGGTGATCAATGATCCATCTAATTTGGCGCGACAACGGAAGTCATCGGTCAGAAACAAAGGTTCTTGAGTCTGACATGTTCATACCACAAATAGGCGCAAAGCAGTAGAAGGGCGCTGGGTGTGGAAAACTCGACTCCCGAGGTGGTGCCCTTCTTTGGCCTCCCAGTGTCGACCGCATTGAGCAGTTTGCTGATCAAGCTCCGTCGGTCATACCAGGGCCATTGGCCACGGCACTCCGGCGCCACCTGGTGGACAAGGTTTGTTCACAAGCGACAATGTTGATGGTGACCTATTTGTCATGTTGTTTCTTGATTAAAGAACCATGAACGCTACGTTGTGTCTATGGATACATTGTATCATGATGTATCATGTATCAATCACTTTATATAATTACAGTACAGTTTTTGCATGTCTTTGCCACATGTTTTCCGTGTTGTTGTTGAGGGTTATTATATGGATTTTGAAGGATTTGGTGACTTCTCAAATGCATCAATAAATTGTGCCAAACAGATGAATATATCCACTGGATACCATTGCTATGTATATATATATATGTATATATATTGTATGCTATGGGGGGTTTTCGTGGGATTGTGTGCTCCGCATTTTGTTTTCCAGTTTTAGGATTCAACTGGATCGACAAAACCAGCCATCCCCTTGTATCAGAGAAGAGGTGTGGGAAACCTCCAGGAGAGATTGACGTTGTTTTGAGTGTGCTCTCATAACTTGTGAACACTTGTGTTTTGATCGGCATGTTTTGGCAAACATTTCTATTGTTGGGGGCCCCTATCTTGATCGTTAAACAATCCATGTATAGTTCTTGCCGTTGTCGCTCTGAGGACGTCGGGCAGAGGTGCTGGCATTTCGATGCTTCTTGCTCCTGCTCCGTGCTAAAGAGGAGCACGAATTTGGTTTCCTGAAGCTACAGCAGCTGAAGTCCATACAGTAACAGTAGCTGATTCGGATTGATTTGGTGATGCCCCTAATTATTCTTCAACATTTGCCACTCAATTCCACATGATCTCTCAGCAGTGGGGGGCCTTCTCAGGACAGCTCCTTTCAAGATGCATACACAAGCGTGCTTCTGAGACTGCGTTCCTTTGGCTTTGTGGTGCGCGACAGTGCCCTCTTAAAGGTCACCTGGTTGCATTTGCGACTCTGTTGTGATCAAAACGCGACAGGTGAAACCAATTGGTCAAAGGGTGAACAGGACATGCTGAAGTATGGCCATGGCATGCAAATCAAGCGCAAGCAGGATAACACCAAGCTCTATTTGCCAGGTTGACCCTCCGTTTAATTGGTGCTGATGGACCGCACGCAAAAGGTGAGAGAACAGCAGGATCTCTTCCTTCCAACCAATTAGGTGAGGGAACTTCATATGATTTATGTATGGTGTTCATGCATGTGTGGGACCTGGAAAATGCAATTGCCGCGCATTGCATTCAGGACGAGGTCGCAAGCATTTCACGTTTGCTCGTGTTGGTGCAGCCGCCAGGGCCGCTTTCCCTTGTGCCTCGCAGAAATTCCGGACGATGCCTTTTTCCGGCGAGGCTTTTTCTCGCACCCACCGGTGACCCGCCTCCCAAGCAAAGAAGTGTAAGATGGGTCGCTGATGCTCACGGTGCGTCTCTTTTTTCAAAGAGGAGACACTCAAAGTGACCGAGAATGTCCTTTGAGTCACATGTTTCCCTGAGTTAATGTGGCGGCCTTAGGAGGCCATCGCTCTTAGGTTGGCGCGATAGGGCCTGCCACAATCTTCGCGGAGCGATTTGTGACATCCACTCGACGAGAAAGTTGAGAGAGGCTCACCTAACAGACTCAAGATTGATTGGTGTGTAACAAATTGCCCAGTGTTTGGACAGGTTCCTGCTGCTCAGATGTTACTGTTAGTTCCAAATAAACATCATAGTTTGCAATAATTATGGTTCCTTACGGGGCAGATGACATGCTTCCTTGGAGGTCTATATAGTGGTGAGATAGAAGATATCCAGTATGACATATGACAAAGAATAATGTTGCTTTATGTTGCTTTAAACAGTGCTTTAAACAACCCTCTTCTGGCGAAATGGTTTGAAAGACTGGACTGTAGAGCTTCGGTGATTGTTGTTTGGGGACGACCTGTCGCACTGAGGTACAGCTAGCGGCAGTGATCAAGGAGCTAGACACGATGCAGGTGGTGAGGGATGGGCTTGGACGTTTTTGGGAGCAAAGGAAAAGAGTCATCCAAAGCATTGGTTTGGATGCAAAGAGTGGATGAAGTTAACGAAATACTCGTACCCTCCCTTCAACTATCATGGAAGTGGACAACCCCCTTTTGGTAGAGGAAAACAATCAGTCGTCCAAGGGGCCACTGTCCATTTCCATGATTGCTGGAGGGGGAGTACTAGATGGCAATGGGAAGCTTGGATTCCTGAAATTCATGGGACGACCACCACCACGACGACCCGCTCATTCAGAGAGTGCGTTCCCACACCTAGCGGTGGATGATTGCACAAAGGGTTGGGTCGACCCAACACGGCACGGTGGATGATCACGGCACGGTTGTTTTGGATCCAGTTGAAGATGGACATCCGTGAAAGAGATTTGAACACAGGCGATCGCATGAATGCAAGAGCCCTTGGACTGAGTCACATGATGGGACATGCTATTCCCACTATGTGCTGCAATGTATGATAGGGATTTGTTGCATAAATTGATGTGCCTACAATACCTAGCATCACATTGATCAAGTTTGTTTTGAGGTGGACCAGGCATGAAACTGCCATCATCGGAAGACGCAGGTGGCCGTTCGCTTGCAGCCGCATTTGCCACTTCAACAGTTCCTGAATGACGAGGACACTCGACAATCATTCATGAGGGTTTCAAAAGAGAATAAGCGAAATGCATCAAGATATTTCTCAAGTTGATAAATCATCAGACAAGCCCTTGAATATGTTATACAGTGCAGGTCATGTTTTGCTGAACTTGTGACTTTTCTGCCAGGTAGGACTGAACGGAGTCTTGCATGAATTCACAGGTTGCATGTTGCCTGAATTCTCCTGGTGGAGCACAGGCGTTGTGGTTTGTCAATGACATAATATGTAGCTACAACCTGTTCAGGATACCCGGCAGTTGTGCATACGACACTGGTGTCAAAGTCACGTGGAATGCTGCCGCTTCTTCCCGCACTTCTTCCAATCACACACTCGCTTGGTGGTTCTTCCAGCAGTGTCAGCAGACGAGGCAAGAGGGTTATAGGACCAGGAAAACCCACTCCTGACGACAATGATACCCAGTAGCTCCAGCTGTTTAGTTGTGTACATCAATATCTACATGTAGTTTATGAACCAAGGACTGGCACATGTTTCTCCTGATAGAGGCCTCACAATCAAGATGCAAACTCTTATTATTCTAAGATAATGCAATGAGTTCCCTTATACAAAGGAATCTCCCGGAATCAATTCTATCTAAAGCCTGATACAGGGCATTGGTGCGTAGATAAAGTTCTTCGCTTTCAACAACTGGTGTTTGTGTCAACAGCTGGTTTCGCCATACCAAGCAAACATGAAGTAGAACATGGTTTATCAGCAGACCTATGTTTCATGCTGTTCCACTTCCATATTCTTTAAGTGACAAGAGTGGCGGCAGAGCGCATGCCCACAGCTCAATAAATGAAATGACTTGGAGATTGAAAGAGCGACAGCTTCGTTGTAGACAAAGCTGACAGTTTGCATGTTGGCTTAGCAAACACGATCCCCGGCCACCGATCCAGGTTGAGAAGCTTTGCAGCAATGTTTTGTTGCACGGTTTTGCTGTCTTGGCCATTGCAGCCCGGGCTGAATGGGATGCGGTGGGCGATGACGGGGACCGTAGAGGCAAGTGACCTTTGGGACTGGGACCTATGAGATGTCCTTTGGGACAGTAGGAGGTAAATTGACTTGCCAACTTGCTGAGGCGCTGAGTTTACAAAGTTTGCGTGGTCACTGCGCAGAAACGGGCATAGAAGTATAGATAGATGGCCCGGATGTAGTTTGCCTCTTTGGGCGGCCCACCGGTTTGGAGCTTGAGGGATGCATGACAAAGGCCTTCTCCCATGAATGACCACAGGTGTCATGGTGTCACGAGTCCTCCAGCCTTGATTTGTGCATAGCTTCGTTTTGTGTTCAGGGTTCCTTGATTTACTTTGATGTCCTTTGCTTGTGATGTCAAAAGGCCAAAGTATAGCAACGCATGTCCGAAGCATACTCTGAATGAACCGCACATAAGGCACGCGCACACATGCACACGCTGATGAACCACTAAATGTAGGGGCCTTCATGATCTGCGTGACCTTCTTTGCTCCAGGCCCATCCCGTCACGGACAAAGTGCTGAAGACGGATGCTGCGCTTTTGCTGCGGGGCATTGGACTGGTTCCGGCTGGGGTCTCAAGGGCAGCGGTGTTTTCCTAACCCTGGCTATCCCTTTTGGATTGGTCCCAAGCACAGATCCCTGTGTATGACACAGCTAGTAGCTAGCAGTGATGCAAGTTCTTAAAGGACGCTTCTTTCTTTTTTCTGCCTAGGAAGGTGCACCTGTGACAAAAAGGCTTGATTGCACCTGCTAGGTATGTACCATGCCCTGCTAGGCATGTTTGGCATGATAGTACAGACCAACTTGTACCTTTGGTATCGCAAGGCGTGGGTTACCGTTTGATTTCCGTTTCATTAAAAGCGCAGGCGGTGAACATTCTGTTGGAAGGTGAACCTACCAACGGATCGTGTGAACCTACTAACTGCACCCCACTCCAAAAGCTTGAGAGAATCAATCCAAGATCAACCATTTGTTGGAAGCATTTGTCATGACAATTTGCTCACTTCCTGTAACTCGTTCAATGCATACTGAGGCCCATTAAAAAAGGCTTGCCATTCAAGGGTTGGGCAAAGCATAGCAAAGCCAGGGAATTGGTATAGTAACCTCCTGATGATTTTGCCAAAGGCCATGGAAGATGGACAGGCTTCAGGCACCGGGGATGGCTTTGTGACTGTCTTTTGGAGTAGGCACGGATGTGGTTGTGGCATGTTGTGGCATTGTACCACAAACAGATGGAAGTGCAATCGATTGCGTTCACGGTGGGAGTTACAGATTACCTCTTATATAGATCCCATTAGTATGTAGTACTAAATTACCCAATATCTCCCAATGAAATCTATGACGTTCTTTGCTCAACGTCGGCACTTAATGGCCGGTTAAACCCAGAGGTGAAACAATGTTTCAATTCAAGAAACTCCATGTCTTAGACGCATGAAAGTGCTGCCTGGTGTGCATGTTTGTCAGGTAGCTCATGCAGCTTGGGTTTCCCTCCAGGGAGCAAGTCGTCAGATGCCTAGTGGGCCCCGTAACGTGACGTTCAGATACTTGATTTTTCACAGGGTTTCTATTGATCCACAACAGCCTCACGTTTCTATTGAACAGGGCTTCCTGTCTTCAAGTAAGACCAGGGGTGATGGTCGTTGTCTACGACCCAAAGCTCACAACTGCGAAGTGGAAAGTACTTGGAGGGGATAGATAGGGAACTGGGGAATGTACCCAGGTATCTTATCAGTATACAATCCTTGCAGTGATTGCAATACTTTTGCAATACTTTTATGTACTAATTGCCAGTATTGCAAGGTACTAATCAATCAATGAACATGAACAGTAACGCATAGCAACGCAGTGACGCAGTGACAAGTCCCAGCTGGTCTTTGCCGCCGTTAGCCTTGAAGTAGAAGAAGGACATCCATGTCCAAGTTGCATATTGATTATTGCATTTGGTGTTCTTGGTCCAGATGACAGCCCGCACGCTGTGAAGGACATATTTTGCGGTCCGCATATTGGCTAGTCCACAAGTGTCCACCACCTTTGTGGCCTGCAACGACTGCTGTCATGCATTTGGCTACACCTGTATATCCTGTATCATGAGAAGTTGGATGTGCCTTCTCGTTGGAATTGGCCTCGAACATGCAGTTGAGTGTCTCCTTGTTTCAGCCCTTCTTGTTGAATGCTGTGAAGCATAAACATGCAAGAGAGGGAAACTCTTGACTGGTGAATTTGCATGTTACCGAAATGGCATTGTTTCACGCCATGGAGATGTTGGAAGTGGATCGATGTGTGTCTCGGATCAACATGACACATGGCCTCGCTATCGTTACAGAACATGTAGTCACCGAATGCCATTTATTCCGTTTGTGTAAGGATTGAGATTCAGTCTATCGGCTGAATCCTTTCCCGATTTTGTACCATTCCTCCCATGTCCAGCGCTCTTTGTTTCCTCCATCCCCAGGATCAGGTCGCTGGCGTTTCAAGTTCGTTTTGTGGAGGCCACTTGGATTTGTTCACGATTTGAAGATTGCAGTGTGTGGGAGCTTTGGCTTTGGGGGAGTTGGTTGCTTTGCACGGTCCCAGGGCAAATACAAAGTATTCAGATGCTTTCTTCTTTAGATGAATGAACAGTGAACGCGCTTCGGGTGTGTTTCCTGACCCGTGTCGGACTCCAGACTGCCAGAGGCTTGCTTGCTTTTTAACGCCAGCATTTTCAGTGTAGTTGGGCATGTGTGGGCATGTTCTGTTTTCAGTGTCATGTGGGAGCTTTTCTTTGTACGTTCGGGTCTTGAATTGCACGCATCACTGCCTGAAGTGTGCCCACTTCAAAGGGGCGAAAGACCGGAGCAGGTGCCGAAGAGTTGGCCATGTTTGCTTGTTCGTTTTGGTTTTGCACTCTACCAGAGTTTGACCCTCCACAGCTGTCAGAACCCCCAAAGCGGGCCACACCCTGCAGAGGTGAAACTCTGCCAAGTTACAGTTACACTTTCCTTCAGAACCTCTAGCACTAGCTCCTGGCTTGAAGTTGGGCCTATGTTACCCTATGTTTATAGATAGTAGGCACAAACATGGAATTTGCTTTCCCAATTTTGGGGGTCCAGGGCAAACTGAATATGGCACATGATGCACAGCAGGCTGCCAATTTGGAGGTTAGTTGCACAACATGTTCCAACAAAGATTGTAAAGATTCCAACAATGAATTTTGAAACTACAAACAAGTAACTCACTACAAACAGTCATCAAGGAGTTGTTTTTCTAGCATGATCAGCCACCTTCAGAGTGTTGTGTTTGTTGAAAGAACCACAAAAGTGTTAGTGATAGGCGATTGCGCAAAATACAAGGCAGTCCAAATGAGGATCACAACCAAAGAGCACCTTTTGCATGCTCCCCAAAAATGCCTGCAACTTCAGCTGTGGCTCAAGCTCTCAAGCAGTAAGTAGCGCTGGTTGGAGCAAGTTTTTCGCAGTGGCCCAGCTGCGAGACAAGATGCTCTTCATCCGTAGACAGTTGGTAGATGTTATTTGCTTGTCGCAATTTTTTGCTTAAGATTGCCTACGTGTGTTCCAGAGGCGATGATCTACGTCCACCTCTTGTTTTGGATGATTTTCGTTTGACCGATGTCACCTCTTGTGACCTTTCATTTGGAACCACTGAGGAAGATGCCTAAATCGGGATCAGGGAACAGTGCGAAGGAGCAGGCTCGGAGCCCCACTGAGCTCGCAGACGGCGACATGTGACGATGTTTTCGGTGTTTTGGATTCCCCGCAAGGATTCCCCACAATGTTTTTTATACAATATATATATATATATGGTACCCCCCTATAGACCTACCTTTTTGGATCGTATTTGCAGGTTTTTTGATACATTTTGGAAGTTTGGACTTGATACACAATTTTGGACATGTTTTAAGCAAACTTTTTTAGTCCTTGGAGTTGTTTTTATGGTGTCTTTGCTGATGAAGAAAAATAGCAAGAAATTGCATGTTTTTTGCCAAAATTGCACTCAGTACAGGAATTCAAGATTCAAGATTCAAATAGAAGTTCTCGAATCTTGAATCTTGAATCCTGGGCTGGGGATCCAAGAGCTTCTCTTTGAATCTTGAATCTTGAATCCTGGGCTGGGGATCCAAGAACTTCTATTTGAATCTTCAATGTTGATCTTGATCCCGGTACTTAGTGCAAATTTGGCAAACATGCAATTGCTTGCAATTTCTAAACTGTGGATAATGTCATGCCCTTAATGTGTTTGACATGTTTGTGACGGATGCTTCTCATATAACTTTTGTGCACCACGGCCAAAGTAGCCACAAGCACGTTCCATGATTCCATCTTGCACCGAATACAACTAATTATATGAGTTGCTAGTTTCTTTTTTACTGTGAAATTACATTTAAACAATTCAAACTATGAACTTAACATAATACATTTGTGACAGTCAGAAACATTGGATTTGCACAACTAGAGCATTGACCTGCATGCTTTTCACTTGTGAATATCACAGGGCAACACATAAATTCACATAACTAATTGTGTGCATGACAACTGATAATATCATATGTTAAAATTGCAACTCATATTGTCAAGTTGTCAAGTGTTTACAATGCACATGTGCAAATGAGATTTGATGAAGACCAATTAAACTAGAATATATATATATATATGGAATTAACTCAACATTGGAATTCAATTGAATGATACGTTCAAATCCTAAATGACCTAATTCTAATTCTAATTCAATTCTAACTCTAACTCAACTAGTTGAAACTCTATTTAATTCTACTATAACTAAATGTTGGTTCTATTTCATTTATCATTCAATTGAGTTTTAATGTTGAGTAACTTCCATATTCCAACTCTTTTTTCAATAGAGTTCAATGCAACGGCGCTTCTATTGAAATTCTACATCTACTCAATTTGAGTTCTATGCCGTTTATGTTTAAGTCTAATATACTTATAATGCTTTTCTTTTTCTAACCGAATTCTGGCTTTTATGCAGTTCTAAATTGCTTCTAGAGAGTGCGTGTTGCTTTCAAAATGAACGCTTTGTAGATAATTTCTGCGTTGCTTTCTCAAAGGTTCTGTTCTTAAAATCACACCCCCAGCAACACCCTCTCTCTAGAACAATGTCAGAGTTAAATGATACTTCAGTTTGCATTGAATTAGCACTGAACTAGAATCGAATTAACAAAATAGAATCAGCACTAATCACTAAGATTGAATTAAACAAAATCATTGTTTCACATAGAATTGGGTTAGGATGAAGATAGAATTGAAACAGAATTGCTTAACCTGCAGCTCGATTAGAATTACTGTGAACTACAGCTATATATTCTTTTTAAATTAGATTTGAATGAGAATTAAAGTCAAAATAACATTTACACTAAAGCTATATTAGAATTGAATTCAAATTCAGTTAGAATTGAATTAACACCAAATTGGAGATTGAAATTAAACTTTCAATTCGAAACCAATTAGATTCAAATTTGAATTCAATCAGGTTCCAAAATTCGATTTTAAAATTCCAAATTTAGAGTTAAGTTAGACTTAAATTTGCAAAGTTAGAGTTCAATAGAACTAAAGTAATAATTAGAAGGTCTATGTTTGTGAATTCAGTTCAATTTTTGTTGAACAATAGGCTGAAATTGTATAACACTTAAATCACTTTACTTCGAGTGATCCCCACCATGACATTCATACATTTTATTGTATCTGCCATTCTATCTGGCAATCTATCTGACATACTATCTGGCATGCTGTCTGGCATACTCTCTGGCATTTTGTCTGGCATACTATCTGTCATTCTATCTGGCATATCTTCTGGCATTCTATCTGGCATTTTATCTGGCATTCTATCTGGCAATGTATCTAGCAATCTATCTGACACACTATTTGGCATACTATCTGGCATATCTTCTTGCAGCATTCTATCTGGCAATCTACCTGGCATTCTATCTGGCATTTTATCTGGCAAACTATCTGGTTGAGGTCCAGCGGTGCACACTGCGATCGGATCCTTGCGGTTGAGGTCCAGGGATGCACACTGCGATCGGATCCTTTGCACACTGCGATCCGGAGCTTGCCAGACAAGATCGGCGAAGCAGATTGGCGAAGCAGATTGGCGAAGAAGATTGGCGATGAAGATTGGCGATGAAGATTGGCGAAGAGGTTGGCGAGGAAGGCAGCAGGGAGGGAGGGAGGGAAGGAGGGAGGGAGGAAGGAAGGAAGGCAGGCAGGCAGGCAGGCAGGCAGGCAGGGAGGGAGGGAGGAAGGAAGGAAGGAAGGAAGGAAGAAGGAAGAAGGAAGAACAACTGTGATAAAATCTAACAACCCTCACCTGGCAGGTGGGGAATTAGAATAGACTTGGATTAGATCTAAATTTGAAGTCAATAGATCTGCAAAACCATTTCCAAATGTATCTGCTTCATACTAATCCACAACCAACGTCTGCCTAATCTAGGAAAAGGTAGGTCCATTGGGGGGGGAGTATATATATGTATATATACGATTCACCACA